TGAACTGGGTGGATGCTTGTTGGAGCTTTAACGAGCATCGCCTCGTAAACTTTCGAAGTTTTGGGTCCTTCCTCCACAAAATTTGTCCATCAACTCTTCTTTCACTTAGTTGTCACTTCCAAGTAGGTTCGCATCACTTCCACTTTCGATTGGCATTTCGTTGGGAAATGAAACGGACAATCTACTCTCAGTAGCACTGATCACCGTTGGTGAGGATTCGACAACTATTGTCTTCCATTATCTTCGAAGGGTCTTTGAACCTGTGCAGAGCTCCTCTGTTGGATAGATAAGAGAATTGGGGTACTCAGTTTCACCCATTCTCTTAAGAGTTGAGAAGGCAAAGATTACTTGACTTCGCCCGCCTCCTCGAGGTTGTACTCCATACATCGAGCTGATTACTGACCTTCGCCTACTCTTCGCTCACACTTCTGAAGCACTCGAAGTGTTTGCACTCCTTGCATTGAGTTAGCTACTGTGATTCACCTTCCCAATGTCATCAAACTTCTGGAATGCAAGAAGTTTTCACCTTAACTTGGAGTAATTTTCTAATAGATCTGGTCACCTCTGGGATTGTACCGTCTTCTCCATCAACCCTGCCGCCTACTCCATTGAGTAGCAAAGGTACAATACCGCGTACTGCCTGTTTCGTTCCTTGGTCGTGCACTCTTGCATGACTCGAAGTCCTTCACTTTCGGCTATCTTGATGAGAAGCTCATTGACACCGATCTTACGAAGTTCCTTGGCCTCTGCCCTTCAACCTTATCTCGGTACTTGGAGTTTGCCTCTGCATGCTCCACCTCCTCGGCCCCCTTTCACGACCAAGCGCTCTCCCACCATGAGAGCAAGGGATCAATGACTTTCACGAAAGCCCCGCCTCTGCAGTACCATGGCGCTACCATGCCCATGGCCCTACTATCCGTCGTCTTGCATCTGCATCCCTTTTCTTCAATATGTCTCTGTGGCACTCCTCCGAGTCCACCTCCATTCTAACTTATGCTTGATTTTGGGTAGCTAAGTCCCTCTAGACTTATCGTCGCTTCCTCGCCCCTTTCGACCCCCTACTTCAACACCTTTGTGTTCTCCAAGCAGCTCCCTTTGGTCGATGGAAAGATAGATTGCAACTCCCATGCATGACCTCTACCATCGCATTATAGGGTTTGCACCGATTTTGTTCTCCTTAGCTTCTATGGTAGCAACGTTCGCTTACTCGACCTTGTCCTCTGACTTGCCGGGCTCTTTTAAGCGAATATGAGCTCTAGAGCAGTCCAACTCTCCAGCTGCTTCGATCATACCTCTGCATGATCAAGTCCCTCCCATGGGACTCACTGGTACTTGCATTCGAACTTTTCCCTTGGTGGAACACAACCCCCATATGCTGATGACCAAGGCTTTCATCTGATGCAAAATTCGATGCATGCACGGAAGACCCGTCTCTGCGGTACCATGGCCTTCACTCCTTGAATCCATGGCCCTTCTTACCGTCGTGTTGTTCACCGAAGTGGAGCTTCCAGTAGCTCCCGATCATACCTCCATATGATCTAGTCCCTCACGGGACTCATTCATGTGTATCGCATTGCCACGAATTGTTCCACCATGATCCGCTGCACCATGTCACCTCCTGGTGACATCTACATTGCATTCTGATCCTTGTGGGATGAACTCGAATTGTGATCCCTCCATGTGTGGCCTCTGCCAATACATCGCAGGGTCTCTTCCACCTTCGATTTTGTTCGCTCTTTTGGCAATCGACCTTTATCCACCCACTCTTGGGTCACACCTAGATGAAGCACCGCTCTAGGACAGTCCGTCGCCTAGTAGCTACCAAAGTCCCCCGACTTCGCTGCAATTAGTGCACCATTGTCGGGATCCTGAGCCTCTGCCCCTACCAGCACAATCTCCGCTGCGCACCGCTTCCTTCATAGCAACTTGAATGGCAACACTGTGGCATATTCTTTAAGAGTACCCGCCTCCGCGTCCTCTTGCCCTGTGCCAAGGCCTTCTGAACCCAACTTCGCCTCCGCAAGTTGAGTCGCCTTAGTTCCTCCATCAAATGCTTCTCCGAGATAAGGTGCATGTGCCCAGAAGCTCCCTTCGTCTTTGGCACCATGCAAGTTGAATCCGCTCCGTCAGAATGAAGGACCCATGGAACAACATGATCCTGCTCTTGCCTCTGCAATAGTTCATGTCCTTGACCTCTATCCAAGGAAAGCACTGTGCCTCCGCTCCATGTTTCATCTTCTTTGCTGGCTCCCTTCATGCGGCTTGGGTACTTCGCCAAGTTACACCCAAGTTGTTCCGCTCCTCGTTTTTGCATTGAGTTGATGGTGACCCTCACGCCCACCATTCCACGAGCCAGCCCTCCCTTGAGTCTGATCTCCATATCGACTCCAAGTGTGCCTTCATTTGTGTTGCTTTGGGTCGCTCCTCCACTTGATCTCGCAATACATCCACCAATGCATTCTCTCAAGCGAGATCATGCAACGACTCCTCGCCGCTTGCTCGGTCAATTGAGCTTCGTCGAGTTATTGTTTGTTGAGGTGCTCCTCCTCAACATGTGTGGTCTGTTGCACACGATTCTCCCTCTGGAGAGCCGGGACTTATCCCTCTTGGATATCTATCCCGTTGGAGCAACATCTCTCTTCGTTTCGGAGACCACCATCCCCTTGGACTACTCAGATTTGCTGAACAAATTGTGCATTGTTCTGCCTCCTGCAAACGCACTTGCAAGATTGCGACTCCACATCAATGTAGCCCCCACTGCACCACTCAAGGCCTAGCAACATGCTGAACTCGGTGCACACTTCAGCCTCCTACGAACGTATCCTTCACATGCTGAAGAGAAAGTTTCAATGCTCCATGGCGCCGAGTTTCGGTCACCTTGAGATGGCCGCGAACATTCCATCGTCCGCATATAAGCCCATGCATGAGTACTGAATTCTTCGAGTTAGCAATTCCCCTCACCTCTGTGAGCTTTGCACAACTCTTTCAGTCGCCGAGCAACTCATTCCACCTTGCATGGTCTCATCCTTTACCAAGCGCCTCGCTTGCCTTAAGTACCATCAAGTATAGTTGTCAACGTTGAGCCGTAGCTCAAACTCAACCATCCCAACTTTTGTGTGCTCCGCATTCTTCCAAGCTTGCCTGTTCTCGTGGTGCCTCTTGCGCGAAGGGTTGGCCATTCCTCTGAATGCCAATCTCAGATGCTCGCTCCTCCGAGCGACTCTTTTTCCCTACATCTCTATGCTCGTTTTCCCCAAAACGGTCGCGCGTGTGCTGACTGCCCTCAATGCAGCCCCGCTAGGTCCCCCACGTTTGCATGCCAAGTGTTTCTATGAGTGCTTGTCCCGCTCTGATACCATCTGTCACAGACTTAGCTGGTTTTACCTAAGTCGTGCGGGACCCTTGCATGTCCGTCCGCAAAGGTCAGCCTCCCTGAAACCTCTCATGGTCCCTTAGGACCCACAAAAGAGAATACGGGTTAGAGAAAACACCTCATTCGGGATCCACAAGCAAACATTTCTGAAAACACTTCATAGACAATGCAAATTACAAACAGACTTTTACAAGCTCTAAACAGTTGCACAACAAAGGGTCAATATGGTCTATTACAGATCGAAAATCTCTCACAAGTGTCTACATGACACGACCTTTATTTACAAGCCTAAGAAGGCCACCAAACCCAACTATAATTGGGCTATTAAGCCTTCAACCGTTCCTCTACGTGTTGTGCAAAGCATGAACAAACAGAAATATACGGACATACACAAGTATTACATCAAACATCCTGTTTAGTACTTTGTCCGTGACATAGTGCCAAAATGATTGGGACAGTTGTCAATGATGCCTCTATCAACCCGACTCGGACTTGGGCCCCATATGCAACAGTTTGAAAACATCCAAAGAGGGTCTAGAGCTCGTCTACATGCCCAACAATCGACTTGCAGGAAGACCAGGCTTGAGTGGGGTGCCCAATCCGATCCCTCTAATGCTTGAGATAGGGCCGAAGTGGGGAAAGAGCTCATCGATAAATAGTAACTGACATCTATAATAGTGAAAGAGAGGGCCTTTATAGTAGGTGGGGCCTAAGGGAATATTCCACAATATGGGCCGAATATTCCCTTTTAGGCTTACCACTATTGCTAAGCTTGGGTGGTCGCCACCTCATCCAGGTCCCACCACTTGGCAAACTGAGATTGGAGGGGTAGATTTCTCCACATCACTAAATATAATATTCTTTATGATGAATGTGTAAAGAAAGCTAGTTAATAACTAGATATTGTAGTGGTATTATTGACATGGTATTTATACACAATGCCATTTGTTTATGGACGCTGATAATTTTCTTTAGTTTACTTACCTCAAAAAAGACTAAACACTAGCTTCCATATCAAAATTATCATAGACCACCAACCAGTCATCTTGTGAGTTTCCAAGCCTATGGAATTTATAGAGCTATCTCCTTGGAACATTCAGCTTAAATTGCATATGTAGACTACAGAGCTTCAGAAATATGGTGGTGATCACGGTCACAGATGTGACAGTTTTCTTAGAGAGGGTGTGTGCTAAGACCATACGTATAGTGGTGAACACTCTTTTTACTTTTTAATGGACTTCAAATTTACAAGAAACAGAGCATACTTGATCCTACTTAAAGGAATACTACATGTACGAATAGAGAAGGATGAAGACATAATCTATAGAACCTATCATTACTTTGGTTTAGCCATAGAATACTAGTAATTTCACCTAACCTTCGAGGATATTTCACAAGGATCAGAAAATAATCTACAAGAACGATTACTTGTAAGAATATCATATGTATATTAGTCACAGAAATTTCTACGCAGCATACCTACACTAGTAGGTTGACAGAGCCGCCATGAGGCCACTACCGAACTCTAAATCACTCATAAAACATTCAAACAAAAAGAATATAAGTAATTCCAGATCAAGTTTACGAGAAACAGTAAGAGGGAGAAAAAAGATATCCTTTTAGGTACCTCAAGAGAAAGCTTGTGGCGGCGGAACTTCCTCAGCTCCTTGGCGACGCGGCAGAGGTCCCACTTCGATAGCCGCCTCTCCTCCGCCTCCCACCGGTCCAGCACGATCCCGGACCCGAGGCTGGGGTCCTCCATGGTGGAGATCCGGCGGTAGAGCGAGTTCCACTTAAGTACCGGCCTCCGCTCATAGTCCACCGTCCCGTAGCTATGGACCTGAGAGATCGAACAGAGGATCGGGTACCCGGGTCTCCGCTCGGACTGCAGGACGGCAACGTTCTGGTGGAACCCTAAAGTAACTTTGGAATAAGAAGCGGAAGAAGAAAGGGAGGAGGAGGAGGAGATGGGGAGAGCTTGGAAAGGAAGAGAGCAGGGGGAAATGCCAGAGCGGAGAAGCATTTTGAGGGTTCTCGGAAGAAAGGGTTCGACCAAATGCTTTCAGATTTAGAAGGGGGAAGCGGGTTGGATATAATAGTACGTGCGGATAAGAAGGGAGGCGGCCTCCCTGTGGCGTCCTGTACAGAGGCCAGGGTTTTTGTTCCATCAAAAGTGGTGCGTCCTTCTACAGGTGGCCCGCTGCGGATGGGCAAGGGGAACACAGCTGGAGTCTCTTCAACGGTTGACTGTTACTTGACTCGATCGGGTACGTTCTTGCTTGAGTTTGAATCAAATCCGAGCCTCTTACGTACTTTGGAATTTTAGCATTGAGATAGAAATGATTAAGTTGGAATGAAGTAATTAAGTTTGAAATCAATACGAACAGGAAAAAATATATATATGGATAATATTTAAAACGAGTTCGAATAGTTGAATAGTTGTTAGTCGTTTCTTTAATCCCAATGAGCACGATAAAAGATTCATACGCCCCTTCAGTGGTTATTATGAATAATGCTTCTCTAAGAACTAGGTTATAACAAAAGATGTTGCACCTTTGCAATGCCTTGTATCTCAAAATCGGGGAACTAAAAAGCAAATTTTAGATCGTCGATCTATGACCAGAACACTCCGGACCATCAATCATTTAACAACATATCTTTGGCACTCTTATATACACGTCTCAAAGTTCAACAGAAACCCCACGCAGTTGGTCTTGCCTATTCCCTAGGACTGACATCACTTGGAACTCAACTTGAGCATTGTATTGAAACAATCTTTGTGATGGCTAAGCAAACCGAAACAACATCATCAAACTGCAAAATTCTGAGGAATTCACACCAAGAAGAAGTCAGATGGTTCCTAACGTTTAAGGAGGCTGTAGGAAGGCATGTCCTCGATTCGTTGGATGTCTTCCAGTAGAAGCTCTTGTTCAAGCTGACGGCGTGTCGACTTCATGACCAACTAAACGAAAGCAGCAGAGATCAAGAGATCAATGCAAGAACAGAAACAGAGAATAAATAGTCAAAAGGATAGTAAGAGCAACGAACATTGAAGTCCATGTAGGAGGCGCGCATTGCGAGCCATTGCTGGTCCATCATCTTGAAAGACATGCAGTACAACATATCGAAAGCTCGCTCGTTTTCTGGAGGCAAATTACAAGGAAAACTCTTGTCAGTGCCAAGCGTGCAAGTTCCTATAGGAGAAACATTCCAGAGAACAGACTAAAGAATAGCTTCCGTCCTTGGTTTCTGAGAAAAGCCTGATACTTGGCCAGAATTAAAACATTTCATGCCATTATAGGCAATTACAATTTCCTGTTTATGTACGATGAGTGCAAAGTGAGAGAGACAACAAAAAGGATCAATTTGAGGGTTACCTAAAAAGGCATGGTTGTGCTCCATATACAGCAAAAAAAAAAAAAAACAGATACTAGTTTAATATACAAGATCAGCGCAAATGTGATGGCTACATAAAATCGTCAATCAATTGACAATTAAACAAGGGACCAGCGGTAGATCTGAATCAGTGTCCAGACACAAGAATTAGAGTACTCAAATGTGGGAACCAAATCCACCATTTTCCAAATTCGGTTTAGATATCAGGTAAAACTGGGACTGTACACACTACAAGGTATGAATTCAGAAATCACATGTAATCCGATAAGCTTTCTAGATCGTCATATAAGCTTAATAGTGATTATATGTTTGTTTGAGTGAAGTATGTCTGCCGAGAAATGATCACAGGGAATTCTGCAGATCAGTGGTCTAGTTTATAGCATCTGGATACAAAAGGTAGTAAGCAGGCAATGATGGTGATATTTGCCCCTATCTGACATCCAGAAAAAGAAAACAGCCTTGGCAAATAACAAAGCAATAATCAAACTGCTGAAACGTACCCGAAAGTAGCTTCAAGAAAACTGATGCCATCATTGATGTTGGTTTGGCTGCAGTCACCAATATAGTTAATAAGCAGTGGTGCCTAGACCTTAAATTGGCAGAAAAGTAATTCGGTAGATAAATATCATAAAGAAACCTTGTAGAACTTTTAATGTGAGTATACATTACGTGCAAGCAACTCCTAGAAATTTAAAAATTAGGTGTCTGTTAACCTATTATGATCAGTAGAGCACAAACCAGCTTGAAGATCAAGCATCTGTATGAGCATGAATGTAATATTTACACCAGCAACAGCAAATGGATACTCCCACATGGCTCTGACGCCTTCCCGCTTTTGCAGAAGATCCTGGAAAGATTTCTGCAGGGAGATTTTTGATAACCAAAGATGACAGCAGGTTATCAAAGAGAATGCAGGCTAAAAAGATGCGAACTATGATGCGAAGTAACATAAAAGTCAAAGATTCAAAATATATGATAACAAATATTAGCTCTACAGGTGGGTCTTAATTTCGTATCGCCCATTTTTTGATACAAATTATACGAGATGATTTAGTCTGCAATCACCTACACGAATAAGGGAAGTAAACAATGAGGTGTAACTAAAATATACTTTTATCAAAAAGTACTAAGTAAATACACGATATAAAACTTCATGTATGTCTCTGGTTCCCACTTTTGAGTAGGGACATGTCCTGGTGCAACCTGACTTAAACAATGAATCTAGACTAAAGCAAAATCAAATCACAAATCAAGAGTTATTACTTAATGCTAAGCCACTCAAGAGCTATTAACTAGTAAACCCTTGCATTTAACCCACCCACAAGCCTTTCAAACTCAATCAGAATTCAAGTCTCATTCAAAACGAGGAGAACTCTAATTTTGTAATGCCAACAAGCTAACAGTCCACAACTCTGATTTTTTTTAATTAAAAAACTTAAATTTCAAAAACAAACATAATTAAGAACAGTACACTGCATTTTGTAAGCATAACAATGCATTAAACAGTTTGTTGAAAGTTAAGTGCTGAAATTATTTTTTGCATACATGAAAAACACAAATTCCTTGTATTCAAAATATACAATAAGGTGTTCCTGTTTTAGAATAAAAAAGGCAGACTTACAGGATAGTTCTTGGCAAAGAATAACAGATTTTCCAAAGATATGAAACCACCTCCTCTGTAACACAAAACCAAAAATCATCTAAAACTGTCACGCTAAATGTAAGTGAGCTCTAAACAAGACATAGCTATGGAAGAAGTAACAGAAATATAGTACCTGAAATCAGTAGAGGGATCTTTTCCTTGCCACCCCATTTCCTTCCACTGGTCAGATATTATCCCATAGAGTTCGACCCCAGGATAAGCAGCATACCAAAGGGCCCACAAAGCTTCCTAACATGATTGAAATATAGATCATAAGATGCTAAAATATAAACTCCACAATAAGGTATCGGTTTCTTGCTTCTAAAAAATATATATTGATGGTTTTTTTTCTTAAAACAGAAATTTGTATTTAAAAGGGAAATAATGATGTATTTAATTAGACCATTGGAATGTAGCACAAACTTTTGTTAAGAGAATGAAAAAAGATTAGAGTCTCAAATCATGTTTTCCCCAGAAAAACAAATGTATTGTGATATGTAAATGCAAACCACCAAGTAACGTAAGAAAACACTTTGGTCCTTGTATGCAGAAATAGTTATATAGTTAACAGTAACTACGACGCTTAGATAGTAACTAGCAATACACTATCTGTAGTATAAATACTTAGTCATGTATTAACTATTTTATTTTTTGTGCTCGGGAGTGTTCTGCATACTTAGAGTTCATGTTTCTTTAGTTCAGAAATAATCCATTACAAAAAGCAATTTAAAGTTAACGGTTTGCTTTTTCCCAGATTTAGAACGAGTTCTCCAACATCATAAAGTTTCGTTCTTAACTTGCTTGTGTCCATACAGCGAATTGGATGCAATACCAAAATGTACCTGATGCTCTTTCTTTGAACTATCATACGCAACATCTATTCGGCTCTGTAATCTTCGCAAGCATTCCTCCTACAAACACATAAAACAAGTTTAAACTCCTGTTGGGCTTCCAACTGACTATCCAAAAGGAAAAGTTGGTAGTAAATTCTCAGATGATTAAAAGATCATCGAACTAGCTTACGGTAAATAATGTTGAGAGATAAACTAAGACATGGTAACCAAAACATGCGCGTGCATTTCAGACGCATAGATATGAGAGGGAAATTAGAAGGGGAGATTTTTTATACTCAAGAAACTAAATAATACGAATCAAAACAAAAATTGAGTTCGGCATTGTTTTGAAATAATAAAGAAAATTATTGCAGATGTTAGATTTTCTTAATAATTTAATCTGCCAGATATTAGTTGCGAGGATACAATAAGTTATTGATCTTTTAGTAGGTATTCCGAACAAATCCCGTTAAGCACGTATTCATGCAAACATAATGTTGACAAATACTTATAAGCACCTCAGAAAGCTTCGCTTCATGAATAAAAGTACGAACATATAGAACCTTCCAAAATTCATCAAATCTTGAACGCAAGTTCTGCTGAAAACTTTTTAGCAAATAACGATTAAAGTATGAAAACAATAAAAAAAAATATTTTTTTAGTAAAGAGTAAATAGTGAAAGTGGGATTGGAGCTTACGATATATTATTAGTCTTTACCAACTAAACTAACTAACACATTTTTTAAAAAAATAATATATATATATCTTTTCATCAATATATACAGTATGATTTTATCCTATATAAGAACTATGTTTTAATACTAAAAAATAAGAGAAAAATTATAAATAACCAAGAAAACTGGATTCACTCCGTCATTTTGTCTGCTTCCCACCTGCTGCCACCCAACAAGTGTTTCGAACACGAAACATCAAACTAACAAGCAAACCAAATCGCATAAATTAACCAATAAAGGCCAATAAAGGAGATTCAGTGATATGACTGTGCTTGGATCAAGTTCAACCCTTCATCGGGTCTACTGCAACCATTCAAGGATCCAGTCCAAATACATTTAATATAGATAAAATTCGATCAGATAGAGATTTGGTTCAATAGATAAATACAAACATAGGATCATAATTATTTATAATGTCGCACAGATTTGATGATAAAGACGATGCAACATCAAGCCTATCCCATCTGACCAAAGTGATGACACGACCAAACTCGGAAGTCAAACCGAGTCCAACACAGAAGCAAGGTAAAGTCACTGAATTCGTTCAACGTACTTAATTTGACCTCGAGCTTAGCTTGATCAATCCAAACCACACTAGATGTGCATTACATGTGGACAAAGGTTAGACTAACGTGTACATCGATGCAGTAACAAATGAGTCACATAATAGAATAAATAAAAGAACCAAATTTCGATTATACCAATTTGTACGAGCTGGTATTCACAGACTCGCTCAAGGATCGGTAATAATATAGATTAATACCAATCGGTATTTAATTTTTTATTATTTCTCGATATTATCATGTGGTATGAGTCAAGACACTTTTTTGGTATATAGATACTTTACTGGTCTGACCATTTAGTATCGAGATTTAAATTCTTGGAATAAATTAGTAAAATTTAGATGGAAAAAGATTTTCATCCTTTCATAGCTAAAAAATATGCAATGCAATAAAAATGTCCTTTTAAAAAAAAATTGGATTCAAATTCAAAAGAAAAAGATACTGACAAAATTAAAAATAGTAGTAAGTGACAATTAAGCTTATCTTGCATATATAATGATACGTAACGTTGTTTGTTCTATATCAGTTATCCGAATGTAGACGACAAACATGACCATGATACCCATCATCATGTCGCAAAAGCAATCATTATTTCTTAACGACAAAAAGAAATGATACGACAGCACAATGCCATAGTTATGTACCAAGAGTAACTCAACTAACCAAATAATGCAAGTTTCTACTTGAACGTACTCTGGTTTAAACAAGCGACTTGTATGAAAGAAATGGATAGTATAATATATGATTTTACCTGTGAAGGTGTCAGATCAAATAATAGACGAGTATTGTTATCTCGTCTTTGGGCACAAACGCATGACAGGCCTCGTCCAATCCAAGCTGTTGATCCTGTTACAACCTCAGCTATAGAAAACACAAGCCAATGAATATATTCATACTCTTCAGCGAACTCCAAAATTAAACACAATGTTTAATGGAAAATAAACATGGAAAATGACTTGTATTGCCATCAAACCTTATAGACACAAATCTTCCTTGACAACTAGAAATCACACTCAAGCTGTATTACTAACAACCTCACTTTGCAAAACAAATTACAATCACTTAGAACTCGAAATAGAGAGATCGAAAAAGGACAGGTAACAAAACAAAAGCACACAATATAATTTAAAGGCCTTGCATTAACACAATTTAGGGGTTCTAGGAAAATTCAGCTTGCAGGAACATTTTATCAATTTTGGTGATTACAAGCATATGAACAACTACTGGAGTGGTAACAGCAGCATGACTTTGATGAAGCAAAGATATAAAGTATGGCCCGTACAATAACAAGATTGTTATATACATATTCATATCAAGCAAGGCCACAAATTATTGGAAATAACATATTAGAGTAGGAAGCGCAACAAAGATTTCAGAAAAATTGATTAGACAGACAAACTGGAGGCTAATATGAATCAAGAAGCCTTGTTTAGTTCAACATTGATATGTAAAATGCACTACATATCTTGACTCTGTTCTGACTCTGCCACGTTAAAATAAAAGAAATAAAATCTAATCCCTAAATATAGCATATGACTCATCTTTTATGTTTGATATTAGCAACCTAATTATACGTATCCTGGAGGAACATAATTAAAATAGTCACATACCACTACAGTTAAGAGCATCTCTCATATACCAGATTCCATCGATCTAAATGCACAAGAAAAACAACGCTTTAGATTACTTAGCTGAGATTATTCCATCTTTCATCTCGATCTATTGTTCTTCTTTTAGCGAAGTATTTTGAAGAGACGAGCAATCGCATACCAGGCGACGAGCGGCATCCGCTCCCTCGAGGCGGCCCCTGCGACACCCTCCTCACCGCCACGAACGGCCCGCCTTTTCCGTCCGTCTCCCGCATCTGCGTCGCCTCTGGGTTCACTCCGAAACCTTCGTTCGAGCCCCACGCTCGACGAGACCACCCATCCCGACGACCACCACCAACTCCTCAAGGACTCGGCATCCGAAGCGAAGCACGAGGGTCGTCGATCGATCGATGAGCGCGTCGGGGGCGGACTCGTGTCGGAGAAAAGGGGAAGAAGAGATCAAGATCTCGCTCCCATGCTGCCTGATACGACTCTGCGGAGCGAGTGGTGGTTTCCTCTATCTCTCTCTCTCTCTCGTCTCTCTCTCTCCCTCCCTCGCTCTTTAGATGGCGGATCGTAAAATTGGTTTCGATTCGGTTTGCGTATGGCATTTATTTATTGGGAGAGTAAAAATAATGGATATAATGCGGATTAATCCTAAGACGGAGCGAATGTTTTTCCACGCTGGTTTTCTAACGGGCGTTGATTACGCGCAAGAACAAACGTCCCACCGAACCGCAAACGGATTCTGCCACCTCAGCGCGTAAAATTAACGCGTAGGAATGACATGTTTGGTTAAGATGTGGAGAGCCATTCATGATGGCTGCGGTGTTCGGTGTCACTTTTATCCCGGCCAGCCCCGTGCCTCGTTGTGGTCACCTTCCGGTGGGCGAGCACGACCCTTTGCATACAAGTTTGGTCCCCTTCCATGGTCAATTCTTGGAGGCAATCGTGATCCAAGCTGTAGCTGTTTGATCCCAAATTCAACACGAATGAAAGCAAAAGCTAAGCCCTCATAATTTTATTAGGATTCACCCTCACATCTATCTTTCTCCTTTTGTATCAACATTTATTGATATTTATAGTTATTTGTCAACAAATAATTTTCCCAAAGTATGGGCATCTAGTGAGTTAATTTTAAGGTTTTCAACTAAATGAATGCTTCCGATTCTAATGATCATAATATTTCTTGGATGTATGTGTATATTCATTAATTAATTAATTTTGGAATATATATGATAGCTAAATAGGTAGTATCGTGATTGGTATGAGTACTAATATACTAATAATTATCTGACTTCGAACGAATTAAAACATTAGTGATGACATTAACGATGGGCTCTCACCGGCGGTCAACTTAAGGAAGATCGTATGAGACCTTGATGCAATGAGTCATTTTGGTTGGAATCAACATGAATAGACCAAGGTAAATTGAAAATTCAAGAATCGATGATCGCATTTGGTCAAAATGGAAACAATCATGGTCAAGATTTTTGCTTACAGAAATACTCCAAATTGAATGACTACTTAAAATGTGATTTAAACAGGAAGCTCAATTGGTTCAACAAATATCACAAAGCTGGTTGACATTTGGCGCTCGATGTGGCACTCGTAGTTAAAGAATGATGACAAGTAGCATCACTTGATGATGTTTACAAGACTTGGAGGCGTAGTAGGTCAGGGAAGGTGAGCTGCTGTAGAGCACTACTCCTAACGAGGAGGTTCGAGTGGTTCGACAATGTCTAAATTGAAAATAATCAAAAGGAATCATCAATGTACTTTCGATCCTAAAAGAGAATTTAAATAATATGATTTGTGCATGCAACAAATTCCAGCCAACCCATGTGATTATTATATCATGAATTATTATGTTAATAAAGACATAAAGTCTCAATTATTTAGGTTGAATATGTTATCATTGAGATCCTTAAAGTTTAAAATATTTAATTTTATATTTATTAAAAAAATTAGATATCTTTTTTTATCACTTCTCGTACTATTAATACTAAGCATTTTATCTTTTAAATTACATACGACTCATTATTCTGTGTTCATTTCATCTAAAATAATATTTATTTATTTTATATTCCATATAGCTAATGTTTCAAGAATGGATATATTTCTTCTCTATTTAATGGTTTGCAGTAAGCTCACACATTCTCCTCTTCTTTTCCTAATTGTTGTGGTAGAATTAGGTTACTACCACCTAAATTTACTCCCACATTTTACTCCTAGAGATTTAGACAATGTGACCTTAGACCAATGTAGATCTAACTAGGAAGTTACCTGTATTAATAACATAAATCAACATGTATTAATATCCTAAGCACAGTCCCCTAGGCAACAGAAGGTCCTATTGGCCATTCAAAATAGAGATTTAATATTATTAATGTCATAAATCAACAAGAGACACATGCTATGCTAAGATCCAATAACAATAGACATTTTTATTATTATCCCAACAATAAAAATATTTCATGCAAGTGCATAGGGATCAGATAACTGTGTGAGTTCCAAGCTCTCATAGCTCAATGTGAGCAATACTATGTTAAATGTCCAAAAGTTATATATAAGAATAAGCTTAAAATAATAAATTAGTGCATAAAGCTCTTATTAAAAAGTCAATATCTTTGTTTTGTTTGATGTAAATCATTATTATTTGAATCATAAAGAAATAATTTTATCGTGGAAGGATCTAGAGAAGTTTATTCTAGATATTGCTAAATTTATTGAGAGGGAGACCAATCTCCAACCCCCTTTGGAGATCCAACCTGTTTGGGAGTCTTACATGCATAGGATTCAGAAAGTGAAGTGACATCCCACTAAACAAAGCGATAGCATGTGAGTGACTATGATAGTTGAGGATAAGACTTGGAGGAGGATGGGCACTACTTTCTCTCTTCAACACAGTTCTTGTTGTTCCAGAAATTTTCAGGGACAAGATAGTGGAATTATTTTACATTTATGACTGGTCTAAAGAAATTACAATACGGTGGAAGCATGAATCTTACAAACTAATTTGGTTATATTTCTTTTAAATTTTCTGTCCTTTGTTCTTGATTTAATCTGGACAATCTAAAAGAAGATGAAGGGTGGTGTTCATGGTGATGTTGAATTATTGATTTCTTTCTTTGGAGGAGAGAGAGAGAGAGAGAGAGAGAGAGAGAGAGAGAGAGAG